CTACTAGGAGCAAGAAGCTACTAGTAACAAAAGGAATCGCTACTAGTGGCAAGAAGGTACTAGTAGCTCCTGGCATTTCTACTTGGAGCAAGAAGCTACTAGTAATTACTACATATTACTACTAGGAGCAAGAAGCTACTAGTAACAAAAGGCATCGCTACTAGGAACAAGTAGAAAGCCGAGACCCCCCTGCGGCCTCGATCAACCAGGGTTTGAGGTCCTTCCGGCCCAAACGAGGGACATAGCCCTCCCCCGTTGTTTGTCATGTCCCAACTCAAAAAATGTGACTTGAATGGAAATGCTTATATAAGTGTACTGTAAGCAAATACTGGCACACTGCACATGAAGTACGTATGTTTTCGCGGCACTTTGCATACTGCCTTGATACTGTATCTAGTGCACAAGGGGGCATGGCAGCCAGATGCTGCTAGTACAGTCATTCTTGCTTGTTTGGAAGATGCTGGCTTACAAGAGATGGTTGACGCATCTCACCTAGCTCCTAAGTTGACTTCAAGAATCAGAGCTAGCCAGGTCCCCATGTCGGACTGCGTTCGAAGAAACCCCTATTGAGACCACTGAATAACGCGCTATGTCGCACTGACATTCAGATTTCCGAGTACAATCTGAATGAACACGTTCCATGACTTTGGAATGCTTTGGCATTCGTGCTTCCCTGCAAAAAAAAACAGCAAGTTCAGCATTTGAGCAGTAACTGTTAGGTGCTCAGCATCAGGCAACCAACCACTGAAGCGTATTCAACCCAGGTCACCATGAACGCACGAAGTGTTGTACTGTTTTGGTTCATGACTCACAGCCACATACAATGCCAAATCCTTGGAGATCATGATGTCGTACCCATACAGCTCGAAACCTGACAGCACACCAAAATATTTTTTATCGCTGCCAGGAAAACAAGTAAAACATGTAAGCTACTAGTAACAAGGTGCATCGCTACTAGTAGCACCAAATCAGTTCTCCATACTTGTCAGATTCTAATTAGTTCTGACTGAAAGCAAAAGGAATGTGAGGGGGGGGTATCCTGGGAGCTTGGCAATGCTTGTCTTGGATCATCACCTTCTGCACCTCAGCCACGGAGTTTACAGAGAGATGTCTCTAGAGATTGAACAGTACGGACTAGCAGGTTTTTAGAGTGATCATGATGAGTTCAATTGAATTCTGTAACTTGGCATTGTAAACAAACCTATAATCAAGACTTTGGTCGAGCCTTTTTCCCACTACTAAGCGGCTGAGAGCAAGGAGAAGCGGATGACGTCTTGCATGTCGTTGAAGAGCTGGTGCACTTTCCTGCCATGCATGACAGCAGTCCCTGTATTTTACTCCTGGCCGATTTGTGTGATATAATTAGTGGCTTCTTGTTACCAGTAGTAATGCACTTGTTACTAGTAGCGATGCACTTGTTACTAGTAGCTTCTTGCATCTTGCTACTGTAGACTCAGCTAGCTTGATGATCTGAGTTCAAAGCTCAGGATCTTCCGTCATCATCAAATGAAGCTTCAGTGCACGCCTGAGCTGCTGGTTTCAAACAGACTGTAGTCGTGCTGAAATGCAGCGCACAGTCGCATGTCAACTCCTAGTCACAGCTGCAGCCGAATTCGTGCCAAGTTTCAAATCCCATTTGCCACCTCTCTTTTCATCATAGTGGTCATTGTGCTTTTGTACAGCCTCACAATAGAAGTTTGTGGAGATGCGTTTCACGTGTCGCATCCGAACCAAGAACCCCACCACGTTGGTGAGGTGGATCATGGCATCTGACCTTCCAACTGGCAATATCATTGTAATGGTATTACATTCTACTAGGTTCCCAGCAGGTCTGCCAAATCCATGGAGAATCGAGCATGGGAGAAGCGTGCCTGGGCACTGAAGATTGAGACTCATTATGTATTTGTTTTGTTTGTTCCAGTGGCATCTCTGATCGGAGTTTTTAATTGGCCTTTTTCTGCTCCTTCCATGTCAATTGCGTTCAATGATCTCATTAACTCAAAATGCTTCACTATGCATGACAGGTTCCCTGCTTTTAGCAAGTCTTTAATTGAGCAGAACAATTGAAGTGACAAGCATAAGTTTTGCATGGCAGCTCATAAGGATCAAGCAAATCCACTGCGGTACCTTGGTGTTGAAAGCATCGCTGGAATGGTTGTTCTATTCAAAACCACATCGGCTATATAAATGTCCGCCGTAGCCGCTTGTTGGGCAAGATTGGACAGCAAATCAAACTGTCACATGCTAACTTCACAAGTACCCAAAGTCAATAGAATGGTCCACGGTGCCTCCCTTAAATGCAGGTTGATCTGAGGAGCGTGCAAGTAGACAGTCAGCGGACTGTAGCTCGTCACCAAGACCTCCAGTATACAAAGATTACTATACAAACCAAACATCAGTATTCTGCAAGGCTTCAGCTACCTGCTAAACGGTCCTCAACGATGCTTTTGTTGGCAATTCTTCTCCGTGAGAATATCATGATCTGGCAGTCTCCCTTTTCACATGAACACTTGAGTATTGGGAGGGACTCAATTGTCAAAAGACTGAAAATGAAATGAGATTGAGTCAATTTGCCACTTCTTGCTCTCAAAGTTGTATGCTTGTAGAGAGGAAACAAACCGCTTTGAAGCCACGTCCACTCAGGGATGTCTGGGGCAAACACGTACAGCCGCAAATCAAACTTCTTCCCGCCGATAAGCAAGGGGTCCGACAAGTATCTCTGCACCTTGCTTGTAAACTCAAGAGTTAAAGTCGCATAAAGTAGATTAATTTACTTATTTTAATAATTGAATTATATGTTTTTTTGAAATAATCTATATTCTATATTTATATTAGGTCTGTGTTGGAGCACCGTAAGGCAATTCCAACGGCCCAAGAGCTGGCCGGGCCAAAACTCAACGCACGACCCAGAATGTGCAATCTACTGAAGCATGCTACTGAGAGTTGCAGAAAAGATCGGTTGACAAACTCTGATTGGCTACTGTGTGTCCCATTTGCAAAGAAGATCCAACTATATTGAAATCAGTGAAGCAATCAGAGAAGGTATATTGTAGTTTGCCTCGCAACCTGAATTCGTGCCATCACATTTCAAAGCATGTCTTGGAGGCAGCGCCACATATGGCTCGGCTTCCTTCCTTTCTTCTTCTTCTTCATCGCCTTGGTTAAATCATGCCCTTTATCACCAATGCACTTTCAGTCAACCGGGCAAACCTATGCCTGCAAAAGGGTCCGTGTTCTAGACAAGCGACACATAAATATGTCTGATAGGTTCAATGTGCTCCAACTAAGGTGTCAACCATCTTTTTTGCTTCGTGGTTTTTGCTCTCCCTCCCTCTGCAGGCGCATCCACTTTGGGTCCTGGACAGTGACAGCTCTTGAATATATATATATATAGTGTCATCATCGCGGCTATATATACACATATATATGGGCTCGTGAACTTTTCGGGGCCCCCTGGGAAGCAATTCATGTTCAATCATCTGATCCATTGATCAACTACCTCTGATCAAAGTGGAGCCCAAATCCAAAAAGTCCTTCAAGGAGTTCTTTCAGGTCATCCGCAATGTGTCTGATGTGGATGTGGCTGCTATTCGTTCAGTGATGAGTGAGGCATCACCAAAATATGCTCATCTACCTGCATCTGTCCGTCCACGTGATGCTCTTGGTGACTCTTGTGTACTTCAATTAGTTTTGGAAAAATCTGCTCATGCTTCCTGGACAGTCCTCAAGTTCTACCACTCTACGGTGTCAATTCCAATGGGCTTGGCCAAAACTCTTTGCAACAATAACGTCCTCACCATCGACATGGGCGGTTGTCTGCAAATGATTAAATCCGCCATGCAGAATGTCAATGCAGCTTTGCGCTTGTAGATAGCATGAACCTCCTCTGGCATGAACCTGGGCGTATGGCGTATGAAAGATTTCATGCAGTCTATGTGCAATGTTTTTGTGGAAGTATATGCATATATATATATGGGCGCGTTTCATGGTATTATATCTTATCCATTACTTCTCAGGGGGCCCCGAAAAGCACGCGCGCCCATATATATATATATGTATATGACGATGATATACATATGTCCAGAAGGTTTTTTAAAAAATACTTTGGCAAATGGTGAGTTTTTGAACATTTTAGCACTGATATCTGATCTACTCTGAGGTACACTGTAATGAGAATGATGACAAGTAAATTGGCCTCCTGCGTGTGATACTCGTACTTCTGATCTAAAAGTTGCTTGGGTCGAAAAAATGGTTGTGATTAACACCCGTTATGATTAACACCGGTGTGTTCGAGAACAAGTTCCATTCTAGCAGGCTCTGTCGCTGGTACTGCCAAAATCACGGTTGGATATATCCTGTCGCCAGCTGGAGACCTGGCCTCAGAACAGGTGCAGTACATGTGATTGTCTCCAGCAATGGGCTTTCTGAGGTCATGCATCAAGGCTTTCGTTCATGTACCCAGTCGGCAGCCATGTTTTGGAAGGTCTCAACACTTATATGATGAGGGCACTTTCCCAATGGATTCAGCCCATTGCATTCATGAGTATGAGGCTTAACTGCGTTTTCACCACAAAGCACTGCAACATACGCTCTAACATGATTGAACGAAACAAAATCTAAAGGTCTTGTTTGCCGAGCAGGATGTGTAGCGTCTTCTTTATCTTTCTTGCATAGCTCTGAAAAGGTGGAATTGTGCCAAAAATACTTGAATGACGAAGGAGTTCCCAAACATGACTGGAGCTTGAGTGACTCAAGACCCTTCGTGTTCTTTTATACCTCACACAGTGACATTTCTTGTTCATGCCCAAGACACTCAGTCGATCGAAGAGGAAAATGCCACGACCTTGCGACCTCAAGACTGACTGGCCAAAAAGAGAGAAAGAGGAGCCTGAGAATTGTCGTGTTCATTTCAGCATGAGTGCTACAAATGAGCTGTTGTGCAAACAATGTTGAGTGTCTAATTAGTAGCTGAGGTCAGGCACTTCCCCACGGGCTTCATGATCCAGATCGTACCACTGGCCTGTTGCTTCTTGAACCTCATTTAATTGGGTGCAAGTTGCATTGAAATAGGTACAAGAACGACTCAACTATCCAGGGAACCCTACAAGTACTCTTTACTATCTCTGATTTGCGTCCTGAAAAATACAGAGATATCACCAAAGAGACTGAGCACCGCTACATCGCGGGGCACAATGCACACATGATTGTCACTTGTGCTTTCGGACTTACCAAGATTATCAAGCATGGTGCTTTCTCCTGTCAACCGTGCGGAGTACTGCTCAAACGGGAGAGCATCTACCAAACTCTTGGGCAAATGCAAATGCACTTTCCACAAAGGAAGCAATGTTGCTAGTGCCCTGCCGGGAAGTCGTGGAAATCCAATGGTGGGACTGAGGCAATAGCTCTTCGACAAACATCGAATACCTCGTCATCAGCAAAGTTGAATCTAATATCAGGAAAGTAGCTCGCTTGCACAGTCTCAAATTGAGCCCTAAAGGTGCAACCGTGAGCGATTCAACTACCATTGGCATCGAAGCTTGTGCCACTTCGAACATGTCACCTCTCCAGCCATTCTCTCCCAGTGTTTGCAGGAATGGGTGGAGCCCATGCTGTCGTTCAACAAAGCATACGAGAAAGTCTCACAGTCGGACCCATAAACATTCGTGACATATGTGATATACAGGAAAATTATGCTCGTTCCTTTTCAAGACATAGGGCGTGGGAATAGGATAGGATGAAATAGGTTTGTAGGAATAAGGCTTTCCAAAGGAAAAGGACCGTGTCCTTTTCTTTTCTTTCTTTTGTTTGTTTGATTTGAAAATGTGTTTTTTGCAAAGGATAGGTCTAAGTCGTTGTGAGTCACAGGACTCGGGTGGGCCAGGAAACCCTTCGCTTGGTCAAAACGAGAGTAGACCGCTGGAGTAGGCTCAAGTAGCTTAAGTAGTCCACTAGGAGGTAAGGTACTTAAGTAATCTTAAGTATAGGTAAGGAGGTAAATACTACTAGGAGGACTACTAGATAAGCTAAGTAGTAGCTAAGTAAGCAAGAGTAAGGTGCTTAACTAGGCTTAACTAACTTAAGTAGCTAGTATCTTGGACGCAGAAGGGCACAGGCTTAATGATTTTGTTGCTAGACTTTTTGGACACACGTAACTTTCAAACGCTTTTGTGCCAACTTCATTGATTCTTGGTAGGGAGAGCTTTGACAAGAAGGACCCTCCCACTCTTTGGTTCAACCATACTACCATGAAAGGCATTGGCACACCTGATCTGAGACCTAGATTCTGGAGCCCCGTGCTCCAAGGGCAACACAAAGGTCGTCGGGGAGCAAGCAGCATAGCCTTGTGCCTGTGAGAACAGTTTGCACACAAGTCAGTTTGAGGAATCGAATTAATTTTCAATCTTCGACTATTTGTCCATCCCTACTTGGAGTGCAAGTCTACTGTTCGTGCCCTATGATCGGTACCTTGGATTCTCAGCAACCACATTGGCACATACACACATGACTAGATGAACTGACGTGGTTCCAGCAGGGCAATCCTCAAATGTCTGTCAGGCTTGCATCCATCACAAGCAACTTGTTTCTTCTCCATTGTACGACTCTTTTCGGGCAGCATTCTTTGGACTGAAAGGTACGCCTCTTCCGTTTGGCCATCCTGTCATTGTAGCTGGAAGCCGGAAAAAGAATACTGCAAAAAACCACCTGGGAGACCCAATGTTGCCGGGCGCCTAGCCGAAAACGCTCCCTAAAAAGGAGGAAAACTAGAATTGTTAAAGAGCCCAGGCAGTTCTCTGATTGTCAGAACCGACTATATACTTGGTCATCACAGCTTGAATATAACTACAAATACAACTGATACAACCAAAGAATTTCTCCTATCATGACCGGCTGACAATCAACGTAAAGCATGGCAGGCCGGCTTTAAGCGCCTGCCGATGAGCACGACGAATGTTCTTGACAAGGAGATCCTTCCTAGCATCAGGTGATGAAATGTGATCAATGATTCCGTTAATTAACCATTAACGTTGTGTTGGGCAATGGCAGCCATACATGACCAACCATCAAATAATTAAATGTGTGAAAAATAGCGGAAAAAAAGTTACCAAAAAAACAACAAATGAAAATGCAAAAGCAGCGCAATTTGCTTTGCTTTTGCATTCGTTTTGCTTTTTTTTTCCTGGTGCCACTTCTGCACTTATGAGAACTTTTACCCGTCAGCAATATTTGCTGCATGCTCCTAGGAAAAATGCGAGAAAAAAGGCGAAACAAATGCAAAAATAAAGCGACAAAACATGCAACATAAACGCTGAATTAACAGTGAAAAAAAGCGACAAACACGCACAGCTACATTTTGTTGCCTTTTGTTTGCTTTACCTTTTGCTTGTTTCTTGCGTTTGTTTTGCTTTATTTAATTATGTTGGCTCCGTGTATCTATGGCTGGCGCGCCCGACTCAACATTAACGCATTGAATGATTAGATTCCTGAAGCCAAATGACTTGGTGAACTTCAGAATCATCAAGAAATCAATAATCAATAGCTTGATGGAACGCATTGCATGTTAAGTTCCCCTGCGAGCACCATCTGTTAAACCGTGTTAAACCTACCCTACAAGTACAAGCGCAAATAGTACACAAGTTGATATCATTAAATCTATGCAGAGACGCCCCAGGAGCACCTGGTCAACTCGTAGTGGTTGCGAAAGTGATTCACTCGCCTGATTGAGTTGTGTCTTCAAGCTGAACAGCAGGTGCTTCGCAACTTTCAAAATCCCTAATGTCAACAGTTCTACCTCTACAATGTTCTACAAAGGACGAGCTCTGCTGACAAGGTTTGAAGACAAGCCTCGTTGAGAAGACTGAGCAGCCTTAATCATAATCCCTCCTTTTGCTAAACGTTAGCAGCCCTGGCCATCCGATCAGATGCTTGGTCTACCAACTTGCTTTGCAAGTGTAGCAGCTCGGCCCGAGAATACATGGTCTGCCGGTATTCAACAGGACCAGCCGTGTAGTTTAAGCATGCGATTTTGAAGCCAGCCAAAACAGCTCCAGCTCCCCCACAGCAGGATAAACAACGCTTGTCGAGCGATATCAAGGAAGCGGTCTCTCTTTTCCTTGGAGTGTCTTTTGAGATGCTGGGCAATAGCTGTTCGCTTCTGTCTCCTCGGTCGACAGGCTTGCAGCCAAATAGCGAGATTTCCTGTCGGTCTTGGTCTTCGTGGTAGTCAATTTGAGCTGCAATCTGCTGGCTCTCAACAATAGCCTGCATAGCATCTCTTTCCAAACCACGGGCACGCTCATGTCTTTGCATTTGTTGTCGAATTTCTTTGCAGTCACGGCGAAGCTGCTGCACCTCGAGGAAAAACTCCTCTTGCTTCAAGTCCGGCCTCGGATCTGCTTCAGGGATTTCAATCAACACGCACAGGACCAATTGTGACATGTTTCACATATTATGTTTGTAGTTAATAATTATAAGTTTACCAAATGCTAAAATACACTATGCTATGAAATATTCCAGAATCTGCCTACACACCTTCCAACTAGCATGCATAGGATAGCATCCAAACATATTTTCAGCCGTAAAGCTGGCGAGTCCATGTGTATTTACAGAAGAAAACAACTCCATTATATGAAAGGTGGGAAACCAAGTTGCTTCTTTTTGGCATTGATGATGTCTTCGATCTGCACAATCTTTTCCCCAAAATATTGTTGGACACCTGTCAGACCAATTTGCAAGCTGTCTTCTTGTTCTTTTACCTCGTTGTGAAGAGGCAATGGCAGCAAGCACAGAGATTTAGCACAAAAGTACAACCAACCTTTAGACAAGCGTTATGCAAAATGTAAACATGTTGAAAAAAAACTGCAAGTCAAAAGGTGCTCGCTGGTTTAGAGCATCATGTTCTTTGATGATACTGCCCATACGTGCCATATCTTCAGAATATTGAGCTTGCATTGATTCAATTTGTTTGGTCGTACATACAGACACCACCTGGGTTGCATTCTCAACGTGCTCCTGAACATCTGTAAGCATGGTGTCCAGCTGCATCTTCAAAGACCCAACGGCATCTGTCAAGCTTCTGGAAAACTCTGAGTAGGTCTCCTGCTGCTCTTCGACACCTGCTATCCTGGCTTTCACACGGCAAAGTTCAGCAACGTCTGCCACCGCCTTCTCTGTGTTGATCCCAATCCGTTCTACCTCCGAGCTCACATGTTGAAATGCCGTGGTCATGTTGGTGACATCATCATTGAGCTTGAACTGGCTGACCTCTATGGCGGAATGCTTGGTTTCCAGCTCCTCCCTCAATCTTACGATCTTTTCACGATTGATATCAATTCGCTCGGAGCAATAGCTTCTGAGTTCAGCCAGTTCTTCTCTCGTTTCTGTCAACAGGTCTCCCAAGTGTTTGAGTCCTCGATTACAAGCCTCTGTTCTCACAGTCTGCAACTCCATCTTGCCGTATAGGGCGCCGATCTCATCCTCTTGCAAGCACACCTTTTCATTCATTAGCTCTTGATGGTCTCGACGTTCTTTATCCCATTCGAAGAGCTGTCCTCTGAAGGACTCTACAGTAAGCTTCAAGTTCTCTTGAGCTGAGAGCTTTTGGTGCAGTTGCTTCAGGTTTTCTGCATTGAGATCGGTATACAAACGAACTTCATGTAGCTTCCGCTCAAAGGCCGCTGTTCGGGCTATGGCAGGCTCAGTGAGTTCGATTGTGTGCTTGCGTAGCCGATTCTCGATCTCTCCAGCCTCCAGCGCAAAAAAGGGCGCAGTGGCTGTGGCCATTGCATCTGGGCTGAGCACATCTCCTTCGGAGTTGTCGTCCATCTTGGGCGCACTGTCTGAGCCGAGCACAGCTAAATGATTTATATATATATATAACATTCAGAATATTAATGTAAATGATTTCAAATGATTGTCAATTACGCCTGTCGCAGCACGCAGTGTCACGTTGTTGGAGACCTTTGCAAAACTATTGTCTGAAACTGGAGTGTGGATTGATAAGGTTTGAGTGTGGACAGCAAGGGAAATATTACAAAGAAGGGGAACATGGAGCTCCAACGAGATACGTTGCATGACAGAGCTTGGCACATGCCTTGGGCTTGGTCAATCTTAGAATTGCGATCCTCAACCAGCATGAGTTGATAGTCCAAAACCATTTAAAATATATAAGCAAGTGGAGTCAGGTCGAGTTGCTGATGAGCTTGGAGGTGGATATGATCAAAGGCCTCATGAATCCATTCCTGGCACAATGCATAGGGTGCCTAGCACATCTTTGCACACTCAAGCATGTGAGATGCTGATTTGATTCATGAAAGTAGCAACCTCATCTCGTTCAGCAAGTAAGGGAAGCTGTGTTTCTGGTAGGGGGTCTGGTTGGAGAATTGTAAGAGAACTGTATCATCTCGTTTATATAAGTACAAGCACCTAACGTGCAAGGTGATCAGTTCTCTTGGACAAACCCATGCCCTTCTGCAACTGACTCTATTATTGCCAAGAAAACAACAAGTCAAGGTCCTTGCTGCGTTAGTTTTGCTCATATAATTGAATTTTATAGATTCAAACACAGTCTGACAATTGCTCACTCTAGACTGCACTGTACTGAAAGATCACACCTTGTCTTCAACGCTCTCCAAGTTGAGTTGACTTTAGAAAAATCTATCCCCACATCTAAGATGTGATTATCAACAACAATCCAGTTTGAATCCAATTTGCATTTTGCAGTTTCTACATGTAAACACACCGTAAAGGTTTTGAAAGGCTCCGATCAACATCGCCAGCAAGTCTTTGTCGCACCAGAACAAGTCCCAGTCGAGGTCATTCTGGCAAGATTGAGACTATTTGAAAGATGTAGAGATACATTGAGGCTGCTTCTGCTTTCACTCGTGCAAGCTTTTCAATACACTCTCCAACCACTCATCAGTCTCCCACTTGCTTTGGTCACGATGGCTGTGAGTGGCATCAAATGGCCTCTGTCTCTCGGAAGCCACGCGCTTTGAGCACGTCATAGATGGTATTGTGGAAGGAACACCTGGCATTTCAGAACCAGAAGCAGAGAGCCAGATGGGTGTTTGTTGCACATTTCTGTTGGTTTCCACGCTTGAGATCTTGATAGACCGTGCTTGCCCTCTTCGATTCCATGGTGTCGCCATCTTATGCCCTGCTCAAATGTGCAGGTCCATCTAAGTCCCAACTTAGAACGTTCTCCACTAATTACCCCACAAGGTTCCTCTTTCCAGTTGAAAAGCTTTTGACAACCTTCGCACCAAGGTTTGAAGGAGTGCAATCAAATGATCGGTCAAGGATTCGCCTGGAAAACCGGCATCGCGTCCAGTGGTGATTCAAACTAACAACCAATATGTGCACAGTCTGACAAAAAATCCTGGTTCAGCTTTGCTAAACAAGAAACTTATGCACTCATCATATGCTATGGAATCCTGCATTGCTTCTGCAGACTGCCAGATCAACAAGACAGTCTGAGTAGAAGTGATAATCACACTGACCTGTGCAATCTGTGCCTGAATCTGATCTCCTTCCACGGCGGATGGTCCCTCTTCGAGCCCACCAGCTTTCTCAGCTGTTCAGACATCGCCTCGGAGAAGGCGCGGTGGGTACATCGGAACAGGAACTGAACACAAAAAGGTCCAGGAGGTTCCACAGATTCTTCTTCCAAAGTGTGCCTCGCCATCATTATGCGCACCAGGAGCCATACGCCTCACAGTGAGGCACCAAAATGTGTATATATATATATATATGTATATAACTGTACCAGCAATTCAGCAGCTGCACTCATCTTAAGTTGGCCCTCTAGTAAAGAGGACCAAATCCAGAAAGGCCCTTTCGTGACCAGTTCGAGCAAGGAAGAGGTCTTGCTAGTCTTGGTTTGTCACTGTGTTTCCGGTAAAGTGATTTCAGGGCGTCACAACACGAAAGCCAAGGCTGTAAATGATGCCTGTCTATTATATGGATGCCTTCCCGTTTTTTCATTCCTTTTGTCTTCTTTCAGACCACATTCAGGGTCGAATTGAGTCAAGTGATGGATTTCTGCATCACCACGGTGCAACAAGTTGCAAGGCATGACATAGTATGAGGGCCTTATGAGGGACCAAATAAAGTTGATTCCAACTTACAATCAATTTTCATTACAGTATATATATATATATCAACATGTAATCACATAATCTGGCAAAACAACAATAGACAATAGATAGATGTTAACTCAAGGTGAACAGAATCCCGTCATGGTGTTTGTGGTCTGAACTTGGGCTTTGGGGAGAAAATACAAGCTGCATCTACCAGTCTATCCAAAGAAGTGGTTTGCAGGCCAATCCTCCAGCACAAGCATAAGCTCTGTCCATGGCCCAACGGTGACGCGCACAGACTTCCACTTGAATTCTGATTGCAAACTGCAAGAAAAATCCGATGCTTTTGGACAAATTTGAACCGGCATCCACTGATCTCTCTGAGGTTCTGGTTTGCGTTCATGGATTCTGACTTGTGTGGGGGATCGTCTAGTCTTGTTCGCTGAAACAGTTTCTTGCGGTTTGACGGGCCAGTGCCAAAGCATTGTGTAAAATTGTTGGTTGAAAACTCAAAACTTCGCGAGTGATGTGACTGTCCTGCTCGGGTTGACAAAAGTTGTGGGTAGTCTAGCTTTCCTCCTTCAAAAAGAAAACGAAGTGACAACTGACAACAGCGACGTCTTGATCAAAGCCCTGCGCTTGAGTCTATGAACGTGGCAGCAGCTTTGTATGTTTGCATCAAAGCAAATGCTGTCACACACCTTTGTCTCTCAGTCTTGGATACCCTTAACTGGGACCCGGGATGCGGCATCGCTCTCCTGGCTGTACATGGCTTTTTCCGGGAGTGTTTCAAAACAGAAGGGGCAGCAGAGAAAGATATGGAGCAAAAGGGAGGGAGAGAAGGAGAGGAGGAGAAAGGGACGAGAGCGCAAAAGAGACGGAGAAGAGACGAGGAGAAAGGGAGATTGGAATGCGCCCTTCCTGCTCTAAGTTTTGCCCTCGGCCATCACAGCATAAATGGAGTCTGTGTTTGCATCCACGTCCTTCAAAGAAATTTTTGTGTTGGGCGCAAAGAGGTTCCCCGTTGCATTGCATAGGAAGGAGAACCCAACCTACAGTAAATGTTTCCGGCTTAAAAAGCAACATGATCACAATTCACCCCACCCAATTTAGAAAAAAAACAACCCAAACAAAACGACCAAAGGCTGGGCTCTTTGCGCGGAGAGGCTTGCTAATCGTTGTGAGGACACTGCTCAACGGGCAATCTCTCAACGCCACCAAGCGCTGCCGCCGCTTCCGCCGCAGCGTAGGCCGCCACCAAGAGCAGCCAAAGAACAAGCGCAAACCTGCAAGAGTCATGGTGTGATTCAGCTGGTGGCAAGGGGGCGCCTCCCACCAGCCTCAAACACTAGCTTTGGCTGGTTCGGCGCTGGTAACCGTTGGATGGCCGCGGGTTCTTAATTCACGCATCCAAGGATTTTAGTATGGGATGAGGCTCCGCAACCTTCTCACAGTAGGGCCAATGAGTACCAGCTTGGCACTCCACCACAGTCTACTAGTGGCAAATTCCATTGTCCAAAACTTGCCCAACGACCTTCCCAATTAGTTCCACCTTTACCAACTTTGTGCCCCCTTTTATGCAATACTAGTCATCTACTTAACAACCTCTCTTCATCATTGGGCCCCAGTCCGCACTATTTGGCTCTAGCCGTTCCATCCTTCTGACCTTCTTGTCAATTAGTGTGTTGCCACGATCCCAAGGCCGTGTGGGAAAAAGGTACTGTAAATCTGTGAATTGAGTGTGGCAGGAAGGGCTGTGGCCGGCCAAACACCCCCACTTCTCAAGCCGCCAAGCTTCAGATATCTCTGTTGACATGATTTGAGATGCTCCCCTTCCTACCCCAAGCATATTCTATGGCTGGAGCCCCCACCTATCCACGATTGGCAGTTTGCGTGCTTTCGGCATGTCTGCCCTGCAGCTCCTCAGCCAGCCAGCGCTCACAACCTGTGGTATCACGCTGCGCAGCACAAGGTCTGCCGCGACCTATCGCCTCTTTTTGCGAAGTTTGGTGGGGGTTAAAATCTGCAAAAGCACAAGCAAAAGCAGAAACAGGAGCAAAGGCAAAACACGATTTGAAAAAAGAACGGCTGGGAAAAAATAAAACACCAAATTTATGTTTCCAAATCACTGTGTTCGAAAGAAAGCTTGGGTCTGTCTCAAAATAAGAGGACCCAACAAATTAGCATCATATATATGATATATGTATATTGGTTTATATTGATTATTTATCCAATTCCCCCGCTCTGAAACACCCACAATGCACATGTCTTTGATTGCATATCAGGGGATTGCACAACAGTTTATCAATTCGAGTCTCACTCAGTAATTCTTCATACGGGTTCACACAGATTTACGTTCTTTCGCGCGAAGTTGTATAAGCATCAAGAACTGATTGAATGGCACATGTATTGATTATGAAAACCTCCTGGCTGATGGGTTGGGTTCATACAAAAGAGAACAGTAGTTGGAGTGATCACAAGTCCTTCATGTTGATTCAACGACAAAGAAAAGAGCCCAAAAACACAAGGTAGTCTTTTGGGTGGAAGCGAAAGATCCCTGATCCCTATTTCTTTGGCAAACTTTCCCAAGGGCAGGCAATTGTGCAATCACGGAGGCTTGAATCAAACCTGGCTTGCACATTTGCTAGGCCGGAACGATCAAGGATACTGTCCAATGCTCGTCAAGGGTTTGATTTTTTGAATTTGGAGAAAAAACGCTGAGTGCAAGCCAAGTGCATACTCTCCCATGGTCTTGCTATTGTACAGGCGCTGCTCAGGTGTTCGTTACCAAGTCCGAAGATCCAAGTCTCTGAGTCTCTGAGGTGCGTCTTCCAGTCAACTCAACGCGCTCTCCAAATAAAGCACACGGCACACATGCTAACGACAAAACGCAATGCCACACTAAAGCCCTGTCAAGGTTTGCGCTGAAAGCACTGAAAGCCATTGCCAAATCTGCGACGTTTTCTTCTATAATTACGTGAAAAGTCCTTGGATCCTCGTGAGGCATTATCATTGTGTCTCCAGCAGGCCCAGGCCCAACAGCCTCAACAGCCAACGCTACACAAAAAAAAGAAGAGCCTGTAAGAGGCATCGCAAGTGGTGCTACCAGCGCACAAGCAATCCCGAAGGCTCAAAGGCTTAGAGCCGGCCAGAGATCCAAAAAGCCCATGGCCGAATGGCCCTCTGGAGATCCAGAACGCCTTTAGCGACCGGACTCCACTGCGCCACTGCGCCCTGCCTGCTGCTTGGCAGCCTTGGCAGCTTCAGAACTCCTCAGGGGTTGTGCACCCACCATTTGCATCCATTTGCCACATCCTGGGAATGGTGAAGAAGCTCTCGCACGTTATGAAAGCCAACGGGCATTCCGCATTCCCCCCTCAATGAAAAGCAGACTGCAAGAGGCTGAAAAGTAATGTCAGCTTGGAGCAAGCAAACGAACTAAGTTTAGACATGTTTAGACTCAGTTTAGACTGGCCAATCATGGCCAATCCGATTGTTCTGGTCCCAGATCCCATCAATTAGGGAACAGCCTCCACTCATCCAACTCATCCTGCCAGTACAGGCTCTTCCTGGAAAAGCAAGCTTGGACTGGATGCTAATGACTCCCGTTCATCGAAATTTGACAAAGCGCCCAAGCGCCGTGTTTTCCTTCACACTTGCCACCACTAGATCTTCTCCAATTTGTGCTTACACCACGCATTGACCGCCAACACCTTCGCACCTCCACACACCCCATTCGATTACACTGATTACACCAGAGTGAAGGTGTGGAGGAAGGTCCCTCTCGCACTTGATTAAAGTCAATTGAAAAAAACTGTTTCCTCTCGCAATTGATTAAAGTCACTTACTAACATTAAGTCATTAAGCAAGTCTGAGGATAGGTCACCCAACAGCAAACTTGGAACACTGTCCCAACTGCAAACCTTGACCTTGACTTTGTCCAACTGCCTACAAGCAAACCAACTGCGTTTCCAGTTCCCAAAAGGAAAGTCGCTGAGTCTCACACCTCATCTCCTTTCTTACGAGGGGCACGGCGGCGATATACTGAGCCTCAGCTTGACCATTCTGCACGTTTCTTCCTGAGGAGCTACAAAATGAACACAACTAACTACTTGCGTCGAAGACACGATTTGCTTTAGGATGCTCTTTGGTAATATCCCACCTGTGATGCAGGGAGTTGTGCTGAGACATGCTGAGACCAACCATTGACGAGTGATAAACATGGACCTCCCTATCTTTCTTCCATCTGATCATGCAGGAATCAAGCCACCAGTATCTGCTTTTGTGTTGAAGAGACTGTCACAACCATGCCCTATAATTACTATAGACTATAATCGTGTAACGATCCGGAGGCCCAAAGGTTGTGCGGCGTTGAGATGCTTTGGATTAAGGACTGCGATGAAGAATGGCAGGATTCGGCCTTGTATTGAAATTGATCAACTCGGTTCGGGATGGAGATCGAGCTTTTTCTTGGGCCTTGCTGTACCCCAAAGAGTTGGAACCAAATGATTAGTGCGAGAACTATCCGTCCAGTTACTAGAAGCGTGCTACTTAATAGCTACTGTAGCTACCTCTTCTCCTCTATCCGCGGCCTACCCCCCCCCCGGTCTTTGCCTCTCGGGCTCTCGATGGCGCACCTCGCAACTTGTGACAGCAAAGCGACAATTATTGGGAAATATCCTTGCTACGTTCGTAGCTTCTTGTTACTAGTAGCGATGGCCTCCAACCTACTTGAGATGGCCTCCACCGAATTGCGTACTTGTTACTATATATATATATATTATATGACACATGTCCTCGAAAAGTGACATGGCACCAACAAGCTGCGAAAACAAGTGAAAACAGTATGCTCAATCTCCATCAATCAGATGTCCAACAAATTCAACCTTGCATTCTTAGGAACTGATGGACTTGAGGATCTGCTGTCTGCTGGGAAACTTGACACCTTCCAAGAAGGCTTGGCCTGGTAGCAGTCCATGCCGAAGCCCCAAAAGGCACGGGTTATTTGGGTATTCAGCAAATCCTTAGCATAGAAAGAGACGAGAATGCGGCATGTGTGGTATAGTATACGGGGTTTGTTGCTGTTGCTGCTGCTGCTGCTGTTGTTGTTGTTGTCGTTGTTAATTCAACCTGGATTATCGGATTATATAATCGTTTCAACTGTCAACAATACTAGTACGTTTCAATCATGCTTGTTTGAGGTTTTCACGACAGGCGTGGGCCGAGTCTTCATCAAATACACGAACTGCTCGAAATCCAGGTCCCCCGAATTGCCTGACAAAGCAAAAATCAAGTGACTTCAATTCTATCCAAACATATCAGTGACTTCTTTTGACTCCATACCCATTCGCCAAAGGCAAACCGAATCAGAGTAATATTCAATACAAGAGCGCCTGTCTGTTCCAGCTCCCGTTGTATGGCTTGAGCACAAGACTCCGCCTTCATTGTTCAAACCATGATACTAGTAGCAGGATTTCTGTGGCATGTGAGAGTCTTCAGGGATCTTGGGGATATAGTGTACATGTATTCTGATCAACTTGATCAACTGATCAACTTGGCCGCGGACCACTTCCATGGACACAAGCTGCCCCTCCAGCTCTTTCACAATCCTCAATCTCCCAAGGCTGGATCTTTGCTAATTACTCTGCATGGTCAGAGTCTATGTTGGCCGCTGGCCTAAAGAGCTCTTGAAAAGCATCAACTGCATTTGCCTGCCTCACTGCCTTAAACAATGATATCTGAGCGCTTGTCTTCCCGATTTCATCATTGCTGATAGTGCCACCGCGGTCTTTGTCAAATGCACTGAATGCCTCTGGTTGGAATGGCTAAGAAACTGGATCCAGGAATGATTATATCAATTGAGCAAATGATGAGCAAAGCATGTCTTGTGAAATCTCATTTTGGAAGAAGCATGGAGAAGGAGTTCGATTGTGACCCAAGCTTTTTGGGCGATGTCCTCCAAACAATCAACAGGCTGTCCAAGAATCCCCCACTCAGCACGTCAAGATCTGTGATGTCTCTGTCGTCCATGTAAACTGTGTGTGTGTCCCTCGAAGTTGAACTAGTGAGACCAACTCACTGCAGTACCAAGCCACACCAAAACGACTTGCCGAGAAAAGAAAAGAAGGACACGGGGACAATGTGGTATTGCCACTTCATGCCATTTCATCCAACTCAAAGGCCACATGCCACTTCATGTCAACTCATGCTGTTTGGAGTGGCCCTGCTCAGTCTACTCTACTCTACCCCACCTACTTCCTCTCTTCTCTTGTCTTCTCTACCCCTACTCCTACTCCTGCTCCTCGCTTAACATCTCTTCGATTCTCTTCGCTTCGCCTCGCCTCTCCTCTCTTCTCTTTTTGGTGAAGTGGCAGCCGATGAAGATGCATCGCTTAATGTCGTTCAATTCCACTTCATGTCAGTCCAAGTGGCTTGACCAAATTCCAGTTAGTGCCACTTCATGCCGCTGTATAGTGGCGATATGGGAAATGCCCCTCCTGCGACCCTGGTGAGAAAATCTGGTCTAATATGATATAATAGCAAGGCCAGCCTCCCACAAGATTGGTAGCCCGCTGATTCGGTTCTGATCCATGGCAGCGGCCAAGAACTCCTGAAGCAAGTCACGAGAGTGTTTCCCCCGAAGCCAAGAAACCAAAAAACAGCAAACAGAAAGGACTTTTTTCAAGGCCGCTCTGCCCCCCAAACTAGAAGCAATGGCCTCCAACCTAATAGCGATGGCCTCCAACCTAGAAGCAATGGCCTCCAGGCGATGGCCTCCAACCTAGAAGCAGTGGCCTCCAACCTAACAGCGATGGCCTCCAACCTAGAAGCCATGGCTTCCAACCTAGAAGCAATGGCCTGCAACCTAATAGCGATGGCCATGGCCTCCAACCTAGAAGCAATGGCCGCCAACCTAGAAGCAATGGCCTCCAACCTAATAGGGATGGCCTCCAACCTAGAAGCAATGGCCTCCAACCTAATAGCGGTGGCCTCCAACCTAGAAGCAATGGCCTCCAACCTAACAGCGATGGCCTCCAACCTAGAAGCAATGGCCTCCAACCTAGAAGCAATGGCCTTCAACCTAATAGCGATGGCCTCCAACCTAGAAGCAATGGCCGCCAACCTAGAAGCAATGGCCTCCAACCTAATTGCGATGGCCTCCAACCTAGGAGCAATGGCCTCCAACCTAGAAGCAATGGCCTCCAACCTAATAGCTGTGGCCTCCAAACTAGAAGCAATGGCCTCCAACCTAGAAGCAATGGCCTCCAACCTAATAGCGACGGCTCCAACCTAGAAGCAATGGCCTCCAACCTAGAAGCAATGCCCTCCTAATAGCGAGCAATGGCCTCCAAGCAACACGCCTCCAACCTAGAAGCAATGGCCTCTAACCTGATAGCGGTGGCCTCCAACCTAGAAGCAATGGCCTCCAACCTAATAATTAGCAGTGGCCTCCCCCTAAAAGCAAAGAATCAAATAAACATCAAGGAGAGTAGGACCGACGGAGAGGAAACGAAAGGAACGAGCCTCTGGATCCATGTTACGCTTGACCTGGCAACCTCAGTAGCCTCTAGCGACGTGTAATGAAACATTCAGCAATGTGCATTCGGCGCAAGGATGCGTACTTTTAGAAGAATGTGTTCTTATGCCTTTGCGTTCTTGCCACTGCACTCCTGTACATTGATGGTCCCAGAACCATCTCGATCAACTTGTGCCTTGGCTGGTGCTGACACCCCCGGTTCTCACGCAGATCAGCTTGATTACAAGCTGCCCACAAGACAAAAACTGTGCAAGTGTTCAACTCTGAAAATTTGTGCCTTCTTGCTTTAGTGATGTCCCATTCCCCCCTTGCGTTGAATCTCTATCTGCTGAGAAGAAAGTTCTCCATCCTCGTGCAATCCCTTGGTCTGGCAAACATTTGCATACCGAAGGCCATGGAACCCTGCGACCTCGCACATGGATCGCCCTCGACCTTGGAATCCCTGCGAAAAGAGCTGCCAAGTCCTCAAAAAAAATACACTTAAAAAGAATTGAATATCCAGTTAGGATGCCTTCCAGCAGAATGCCATGTGCATTGAATATCTGTGTCCCGTATGAGCTAATGAATATCGTCAGTGTCCTTCTCATCCTTGACCTCCAAATGCTTCTTCAATCCTTTGACCACCTTGAGCTCAATACATCCCCATGTATGAGACGTGCATCGTTGGATGTCACAGCGGCTCAGTGCGGAAAACCAACTGCGGTTTGTTTTAAAGCATGTAGCCCAAATGGCTTCACACCATTATATATGGCTTCACACCGAAGCAACTTCTCAAAAGCGATAATGCTATTGCTTTCTTCAATTTGCTTCACATGTCATAAAGTTCTGCCGATCACCTTAGCCAAGAAAAGTTTGAAAAAAGGAAGGTACAGTAAGGCAGTAAAGCTCTCTTTGATAAGCCCCCTTTAAAAGGGGTTGTTATTAAGAGGTGCCTGATTTGCAAGCTCAAGTTTCTTCTTTCTTTACACTTCGAATTATATAGCTACAAAACGCTGACCGTCTCCGCCTCTTCCACTGTCAGGACTCCGTCACCGTTGCGGTCAAGACATCGAAAGGCCTGGAAGTTCTAAGGGTTCCATTCGGTCCACTCCAAACTGATTCCATTTGGCTCTGTTTTGGCAATCTACATGCCATGAATAACTAAAGATGCAGTCTTGCGCAACAGGTGTTCCCGTTCAATCGATTTGCAAAAAGCATCAACTGAAAACAAATCAGGACAAGTGGGCCTTTTCAACAGCCTGCTCCGTCTTGCTGTCCCTCGCCAAAGAAAACTTTCCACGAGCTGTACAAATGTACGTCGTACGTACATGCAGATACATATACAGTATATGTTTATATCATATATATATATTATTGAAACATTTCACTGCCTCCAAGTGGTTGATTCATGAACTGGTTGACTGTGTCTACATTGATAATCTACATGAAATGGGTCACATGTTTTTCACAATCTCGGTCTTGGCTGCATAACATGGTCCTGAGTGGATATTGCTGCTATCTGCTGTCAGTAAAATTTACAACCTGCCTGGGCAACTGCTCAGCAATCACTCGAAGGACAAAACGCTTGAATTCGCTCTCCTCCGGAGTCGCACAAGCGATGCTTTCTGGGCTTGGGTGTCAAGACTCTTGCAAGTGCTGAGCAGAGTACCCCGATCCAGGGTGGATTTCTGCTTAGTAAAGTGGATAGGGATGTTTGGCAATTCTACGGTTACTTGTGAGTGCAGTCCCAGGCCTGCACATTCAACCGCAAGTTGTTCAGCATCACCACCTGTGAGAAGGATGGAAGGAGTACAGTAGGTATATATATATATAGCATGTGTATGCATGTGTATACATTATACAATAATATGCAAAATACACGATAACACCTAAAAATTACAAATCATGTCTGCTTGCGGCGTATCATAGCGTGTTCTGCCGCTAGAACACATGTGTCTGAGTACATCTGAGTACTGCAGGGCCTAATATGCTTACAAGTGGCAGTAGGATACAGTGGTTTCATGGCGTCTTTTTCAGAATGACCATAGCACATTAAAGTGGTGCTACAAAACAGGCTCGAGGCTCAAGCAGGTGTTCAAGCAATTTGGGATGTCCCAAGAATGTCCACGGATGTCCACGGGACCCCAGCCATGCGGCGGCGTGGGAACGTGGTGCGGGCAACCTCACGCATGTCCATCACAAGTCGAATTGAAGTCGAAGGTGCTTTGAACATGTTTGAACCAGCTCAAGGTATCCTCTTTCGAGTTTTGGAATCAGTTGCCTTGATCCATGGATGCTTCAAGAGGTTCGAGGCGGAGATCCGGATTGCTGGATTCACCCGCAACATCTGCTCCACCTTGGAGAGGAAACAGCTGGCGGCAATGATGTGCCGTCTTCATCCGCCTTCTGCGATATTCTTTAGCACTTTAGCACTTGTTGTTTTGTACTTGCGTGAGTCTCAAAAGCTTCAAAAGCAAATTATATATGTTTTTGGGAGGGGGTCCAACATCCTAGCTGCAGTCTGTAAGGAAGGACCTGCAATGATCAAAGGCTGTGTTTGATGCTGTTGTTAAAGGACAATCTGCGAAGCACCGACAACTGTAATGATTCTCTGGGGAACCAAATTGCTGTGCACAGCAGAGGTGTGCCCAGGAATGTCAAGCTTAGCTTCCAACTACCTCCCGAGCACTAGAAGACAGCTTGCTCCAAGCGCTTTCCTGGTGAGCGGGTATTGGTATTTGGATGCATTTGGTAAAATGAAAAAGCGAATCCAGTTGAAAAAAGAACTGAACACAAGAAAACGCACCATTTTCATGACATCTTTGCATATAGCTCAGGGGACCAGCACACCTCGTAGACGATGGGCTTTTGACCCACTGACCGCATCAAGGTTGCACGATCCGTCGCCTGGTATGCGATAAGCTTCGGTGAAACTCGGTGAAATCGCTTTACAAAGCGGACAAGCATTGCTTGTAGAAAGATAAGACCAATAATAAGAAACTGAAATATACAATCAATAATAATAGGGGCCGAAGAACAACGTAAATTTACACTGTACACTCAAACACGTAGCGTCTATCGCTTTGCTGTGACTCTGACCCACTTCTCTTCATTCTTCAACCCAATCTATCCAGCATTCCTTCTATAGAAACAAAATGAAACAACAGGATTAGGGTGGAGCAAAACAGAGGTCTTGTTCTATTCTATGTGCTTCCCATATACTGTAGGGGCTCCAACTTACATGATCTTGTTCCATTCTGTGTTTTCCCAGTTTACTGTTGGTTGAGAAAGGGGCCATTATGCGAGATTCTCTTTATCATTGCTCTATACTTCTGATTCTCCGCTCAATTTGCTGGTAATCTAAAGCTGCTTCTCCTGCTACACACTAGTCTTGAATGGTAGAAAGAGGATACAGTGCTTTAGGAGGGAGTCCAAACAGGCTAGAAATACTGAGATAGGCTAGCGCAAGAAAGGAGCTGCTATAGAGCATGGGGCTAAGCACAAACATGTGCATATATATACATGTATACACATACGAACATCAAAGGCAATAGACCCTAGTAAGTACCAATCTTAAGATTCAAAACTTGAACCCAACATCTGATCACACTACGCGTCCTTCCTGGCTGAAACGCGGGAAGACATGTTCGCGAGGCCAACCTCCCTGTTCGCATAGTATGAAGGCTACAGTAGATGGCATAAGGCAGCCTTGGATCCTCCAAGCAAGCAAATATGAGCAACCCACACCTGGAAGGGCATGCTTCCAGACCTTGGTTCAGTTTGAAAGCGGATCCACAAGGATGGGTCTGCAACCTTTCCTCCAAACCATTATCTCTAAAGCAAGGCAAATGTGTATACGATTTTACAATTTTACTTTATTGTGGAGCACCTATGATTTGCGGAGCTCACAAGAAAACATTACAACTTGCACCGAGGCACAGCATGTGGAAGAAAATCATTCCCAACCTTGGCACCGGGAGGATTGGCAACATCCAGCATCAATTGTGATGAGATTCCAAACGAGCTTATTTGACCAGTGCTGTCTCAACCATATAGCACATTCAGGAAAAGCGAAGCAACATGAGCTTCTGGTCGCTTAAGCCAAACTGAGGCCCGCTACGCCCAAATGTCGTTCTTTTCCGCGTGACGCGGCAGGTCAAGGCTACCCGTGGTCTCCAGCTCCTGAATCTACTGGTGCATGCTGCAAACACCTTTTCGCACGTCATAAGCCATATTATGAGCAATGGGGTGATCACGTGTGCAAAGACTGTCATGCTAGTAATCACCGATGGCAAATCAAACAGTCTGCGTACGTGTCAGGAAAAATGTTTGAAAGGCAGGCTAAATTATATATAAACATCGCACAACGGTGTAGGTCCTGTTGGACATACTCTGGCGAACAGGCATATTGCTCCACCTCCAAGCCCTGAAGCGTAGTTTGAGAAAAACAAGAACGCTCGTTGTCTCAAACAGTCCGGAAGTGACACGCGAAAGATCACCCGGCACCTCCTTTGTCTCTTCGGTTGCAAAGAGCAACGGTCTCAGGATGAAGCCCTCACCCAGTGGGCCAATGTGTTGCGCTGGACTCGTCATGCTGGATGGCTTTGAGCGGTGTGGGGATGAGATGACAAAAGGCAGTAGCAACGAACGCGCAAAGTTACCACTCAAGGACAATGGCAGCTCTGGTCATTGCACAGTGGAACAGCTGGAACAGGTGCAAAAGCTAAGTTCTTGGCCTGCCCCATGTCACAAATCTTTATCTGGACATCGCAGTCCTGGCGGAGTGGATCGCCACAATTCGGAGTGCTTTTCAAACAGCACAAAGCCGGATGCATCGCAGCAGTGGAAGCTCTCTCATCGATGCAGTTTAGTGAAGTCTGTCAGGAAATAGACATAGACAAAGGGGTGACATTTGTTTGTCACGGGTCGCGACCGCCACTGGGACGATATGAAGAATAATAAAGAACATACCGTCAAAATGGGTGGTGGCTTTTGGTTTCTCGTGGTTCGAAGGCTCAAAAGTCTACGGATACACTGAAGTCCAGGGAAAAGGTGGGCCAACACAAATGGCAAAAATGCAATCCAAGGAAGAGGCAGCTCAAAGGCTCACTTGAGACCCAGCTGCACAAAGAAAAGACTTACGTACACCGAAGCTGAAGCTTACGAAACTAGAGAGTTGGGATGGGAAAGGCGGAGTGCCTTCCTCTCAACCGGTGCAAACCTGCAGAAACCAATTTGCCGCCTGATTAGACTACTCCACCTCTTTTGGTGGCCAATGATTGGCCTTTTGCCACTCCACCGGTCAAGACTCGCCTCTTCAGTTGGGTCCTCTTCCTGCAAAGAGTAGCTCAACTGGATTCTAGGCAGGTTTGGGAGTCTTCACTTTTGCCAACTTGGCATTGAGCAAGTTGCTGTCAAGGAACCAACAGTTTGCATGCATTTCCGGCAAAGCTTCAGTGGCAGAGCTGGGTCCAATGACTGTTTGGTCTGCAGGATGTGCGATAGAGCAAAGTGCTCGCAAGCAACACATTGTGGAGTGCCAGGTAAATCTAACAAATGCAGTCTCGTTCCAACACGTTCCGAATGTATATACAATGATGCTTGCAAATGTGATTGGTCTCAAGCACCGTCTGCTGAGGGCAACACATCAAGAATCAGTGATTTGGGCGACAAGCGGCCATGAACGATGCCCTGAGGCTGGCAAAGCGGTGCGATGAATGTTGATTAGACTGGTTGATGCATGCTACGGCTGTGCACGGGATGATCTAAGGATTCTTCAAAATGATCAGATCGAGGCTGTGTGTAGCTATTTGCAGAATTGTCTAGCACGCACTGCAGCATAGATGTGGCCTGCTGTATGGCTCTGTATGTAAAGTAACCACTGGTTCAAAGGCATCTTGCCCAGTCAGGTCTTTCTAAGCAAAGCCTTTGAGCAGTACGGTTTGTAGAAAGGTCCTACTTACAAATGAATCAAAAACAAGAATCCCGTTATCCCCTCTAGTGCAACATAGATCGACCAACTTGGTGTCACCGAACGCCCCACCTGAGAGTGGGACACCGATAGTGCCATAGCAGCCTGGTAGCTTGTCAACAAGGAGTTCAATCTCCACTGTATAAAGAAATATGAACGTCGTGTCAGTGCTGTGTTTCTTTGCTTCTTCAATTTGGGATCGTCTCAGCGAAGCAAACCAAGCGGGTTGAAATCCCACTGGCATGGCCAAAACAGTTCCAGTTCAAGTACCCTTTGTTGCACAACAAAAAGCTTGCAGCCCATGACTCGAGAGCAACGAAGAAAGGCCAATCGACAGAAATCTGCTGATGATTCATGATTACATTCACATCGATTCACACAAAATTGCTGATTGCGTAATTGATCCCGGATAGTCTCCACTCGCAAAACCTTTGGTTCCTCGCCTGGTGTAAATAGTCAGCAGCTTCTTCCTCGGTGAGGGATGCTCGTTCCAAGATGTGCTCGAAGAGGGTCTTTGTGCCTGCCTTGAAGAATCAAGAAAAAATCAAGGGATCTGTGGAAGTTATCCCTGGCATCATGAGTCTTCTGGATTGCCAGCAACGTTGAAGCTCATTCAATGAGCATGTCCGCTCCCGGAGCAAAGCACACACAAAATCAAACAACAAAGTGTCTGGTTGCACAAGATCTTCTGCCCGGGAAATAGAATATTCTATAATAAAACCGTCCCTGTTCCTGACTGTCAATATCTGTCAATTCAGACTTTCTGCTGCCGACTAGAAGCTGGCGAGTTAAACAAGAATGGAAAACTCAAAACTACGCCATATGACTCATATGACCTGTATTGCAGCATGGTCTGTTGTGGTGGCACCGCTGGCATTTATCCAACTGATGCACCAAGAAGCACCAGTAACACTTGGCCTTCTCGTAGATCATGTAGATGTACGTCGTGTCCTCAAAGGCCTCTACAAGCAAACAATCGGATAGCTTCCGGCTGACTTTACAAAAAGCATCAAAAGTTAAAGCGAATCGGCCGTGCTCCTGACTTCTTTCATCTCTTTTCCCATGCTGAGTTTGCTTGCTTTGCTTCGAACACTATTCAGAGGGGATGGAAAAAGAATTCCTCCTTTCTGGAAAGTGGTGCTAGACCATGACAAACAAAAGGCCGACTTTCCAGCCTCGATGAACCGGCACAAGTGTGGATGCTCAAGATCGCTCAAGGCCTGCAGCAGTCTCGAGGAGCCAAAAAAGATCGAGCTTGCACATCCTCAATTGTGAGGCTTGACTATATAGTAGCTCCTTGTTACTAGTAGCTTCTTGCTCCTAGTAGCGATGCCAGGAGCCCCTAGTAGCTTCTTGTTCCTAGTAGATCCTAGTAGTAAGGCCAGGAGCCGCTGGTAGCTTCTTGCTCCTAGTAGCGATGCACCTTGTTACTAGTAGCTTCTTGTTACCGCCACTCATAGGACCGACACAAACCACAAGATGCCACAAGACCCTGGTATAGTGGTACTGGACCTGCTACTCCGTGCACAGGCCCAGGTATCCTTTGGGTTGACCTCCTGGCCGCCTTGCAGTAGTTGGCTACATCAGTGCTCGTCTTGCCTCAAGAACGAAACGTGAGTGCTCTGTCCGTGCAACGAGCAAGGCAGAAGAACTGAAATGGGCTTGGAGTTGGGTAGATGGCAAAAGGGATTGGGAAGTAGTCAAATGCGGCAAAATGGATTGGCCATGGGTTTCTGGGTTGAACATGGTTGAACTGGGTGCTTTGCATCCCTTGATCCACTTCGCTTGGATACTTCATCCAGTGCCAGTAGCACCCCTAATTGAACACCAAGCCCGTTGATCTCCTTCATTCATCGATGCCCTTGCTCCTAGTAGCGTTGCCCTTTGTTCCTAGTAGCTTCTTGCTCCTAGTAGTAAGGCCAGGAGCCCCTAGTAGCGTCCTTGCTCCTAGTAGCGATGCCCTTTGCTCCTAGTAGCTTCTTGCTCCTAGTAGTTTGCAAAGAGATGCCAAGAGTTTCAAAGGAAAAAGACGTCCAAGGCAAGTGGATGAGTAAACGCAGGTTCCACTGAGGGAATGCGACTCGTTCAAAGCTCAAAGCGACTCGGTCCCTTACAAGGGACATTTGCTTTCTTCAGCTTCCGGCAAACCTCAACAAGGTTCAAGACTGAAGTGGTCGAAAGGTTGGTACGAGTAGCTTGTTTGAGTAAGGCAGGAGCAAACACTTTGCCCAACTCTTTGAGGTTCGCAGACAGCCTGGGCAATCTACAATAGGCAAGATTTCCTTAATTAGCACTTCAGAAACTCAATGGGAATCAAATGGAATGAAGATTGAATGACAGAAGTGCTGTATCATTCCCAACCTCTTGAGCAAAAATATTGGGGCTGCAGCGCAGAAGCTCCAGGCCGCACTGCCGCCTTGAGCGTGTATGCATCCTGAAACTCCTCAAGCCACACCAAAGGGTTCCGAGTGTGTGATGCATCCGCACACTATGCATGAAAGCTGGAGATTCTTCGTATCCTTGTAGGTCTTCAAGTTATTGGTTTTCGCTGCCTCGGTTCTTGGGCGTTCAACCATCTCTTCCATGCAAGTCGCGAGCTCGTTTCAAGGGAGAGGGAGTCACATGGCATGAAATCAAATTAGGTTGATTTTGAAGAATGGATTTGTAGGCGAAATGCTGTGTCTTCAATGCCTACACATCTAGAAAGAGAGAGCTGAGAGAGAGAGAGAGGAAAACAAATAGTATATGCTAATAAAGAAGCTGAACAGTATGTGCAGGGACAAGAAAAACAATCACGAAAGTCCGATGTGCTTCCTGCCTTGCGAATTCTTGATGCAACCTTGCTTCGATCGGTGCCATGAAGTGACGAGGTGTCATCGATGGGGAAGAGTTGGGAAGAGAGAGTGAGTTTTTCGTTTACTACTAGTAGCTTCCTTGTTGCTAGTAGCGATGGCCTCCAACCTAATAGCGATGGCCTCCCCCTAGTAGCGTCCTTGGAAGATGTGACGTGGTGACGTCCGATCAAACTGGATGGCTCTGCTTTGCTCCAAATAGACGCTCAAATTGAATTGGATGCTTGCTTGATCAGGCTGAGTTATACTATTAATGTACTGTGGTGCTTCACACTCAGTCGAATAAGGTAGTGCGAGCACTGCACATCCAAACTCTTTAGGCCGCGGACTGCCAGTGGCTCTGTTCTTTGTCCTTGTGACAATGTACCTCGGCAGAAATGTTTGTACGTTACCCCGCCACCATGTATATAATATCATATAATAATAAACAATTTGTATATAGATAATATATACTGTGTATATATCTATTCAAAGCTCATAGGTTCTCGGAGAAATGATGAAATGCAATTCTGACTCCAAGCAACTCCAAACTTACATTCGGTTGTGACTCTGACCTTGGAGTTCTCGGTTGTACTAAGCAGGAAACAGCATCTTGCCCTCAGAGAGCCAACAAAGTTCGAGAGATGATGCCGACATGTGTCGCACGGTCGTACAGTAGTAGCGAGTTCTGCAGTACTAGTACAGTGTGTAAAGGAGGACATGGCCAACGCTAAGACTATACCTGTGGCAACTGCTTCAGGCACACGAATGTCATGAAGCACACACCGAATGTAAGAACAAAATGTATACTATATAATTGGATCTAATTGGCTTGTCCATCAAAAATGCTTTGCATATGTCCAACACGACGCAAGCTGGGTTGCATGGCCCCATCGATGGAACCTCAGTTGTCACACGACTGCTATTGTTTCCACAGCATTCACAGCAAAAGGCGGTATGCCAAAAAGATCCCCAAAAGTAAGTGCTGAAAGGACCTTGAACAAAAGTAATTTAATTCTCGTTTCTAATAGCTTCTTGTTACTACTAGTAAGGCACTTGTTACTACTAGCGTGGCACTTGTTACTACTAGCGTGGCAAAAGGGTCGTCTCCAAAGGACCTGTTCATGCTTTTACCAGCATGCTGTGAACGTTCAATGTGTGCATTCGAAGTGGCCCGATCCGTATCATGCTGCCCAACACACTGAGCCAAGCTGAGGCAGAAACGGCCAATGGGTCAACCAAGTGGCTACTAGTAAAGTATTTGATGCTGCTTTGGCATCTGTCTTTTGCCGCTTAAACTCGGCTGAGTCTGGAAACTCACTCTCTGCTTTCCGTCATGGCATATCAAAAATAGCTATCTCTTTGCAGGATGGTTTTCGGTTTGTCGTCCTGCTATGCACACTCTTAATGCAAGCAGTATTCAGTGTATTAATGGCCGAATAAATGCAATGCAAAACCCAGCAAACATGGCAAGTCCCAAGCACCCAAGGGCGTGGCAATTGAGTTTGGAAGACAAGGGCGTAGCGCAGGGTGTTTCATTTTTACGAACGGCGTCAAGTGCCAGGATGGCTTGGATGCCATCGTCTTAAGCTGCATGTTTGCAGCTAATATAGAGGCCGCCCACTGGCTTTATCCGTCAAGGCATATTCTCGTTCTGTGTGAAACGTGTGCAACACCTTCCTGTATCTCACTGTTGCCCAAAGGATCCCGCCGATCGCGAGAACGCTCCTGGATGCAAATGTGCTTGCCAGGCTGGAGGCATGAGCGTATCCGTAATTACTACGTTTGGATCAGAATTACGGGTACATGCGGAGGTTCAACCGGAGTACGCATGAAAGAAGTGTTTTGCTCAACCAAGCACTCTGGAAGGTTGCACAAAACAAAGAGTATCACCTGCCTGAACTCTTCACATTGGGTTGCTCAGAAGCTTTCGCCTGAGACACCCGAGTGTGCGGTCTGTCTCTGCAAGATGCATCTCATGGACCCATGGGCTAGTTCAATTAATTTTGTCTTGCACATCCATTCAACCACACCTGTTAACAGCATGACTCCGAGCAAATCACATAAGTCAATGGAAAGTTCGCCTGCAGGCTAATCTCTGTCTTATGACCTTCTTCAGCAAAAGGATCGAAATCCTTTTGCGCTGTAGACACTCCAGACCAAAAAAGAACCTAGTCACCTCCCTGCTGAAAAATGTCTACATCACACAGCTCACAATACCTCTCAGAGCAGCTGAGCGCAGCTACATACAAGAAGAATGGAGACATGTCGTTCTTGTATGCGGCCAACTTCACCTGCTGAACTGCGCAAACGGCATGTGAGATTGGTGAGGGGCATCTGTTTGTCTGGCAGAACATGCTGCAGGCATAGCATGGTGCAGGGAGCACTTCCTACTGAGACTAAAACACAAGCAAGGTGAAGGTCCCACAACCGTATGTATCCTTTGCGAGTATAAATCATCTAGTACTACAGCTTCACAAGCAGGATGACTGTTCACACAAGGGCTGCGCTCGTGGGGTTGCGCAGTAACCCTGACTCAAGCCCCCTAAGTGACCTAAGTGAAAGCCCAATGATCTGCTACCTTTGTTTAGGCAAATGGTCCTCCAAAATCAATTAAGTAAAGGACCGGATAACCCCAAATGTGAAGCTTTTTGTGTTTATGACAAGTCGAGCCAGAAGCTGAACGTAAAGGAATGATAGCAAATGAGTGCATGCGGATGATGGGCCGAGATGTGGCGGGATGTGGTGTGACTGTGAATGTGTGTGTGTGTGTGCGTGTGTGAGTAGGCGAGCGAGAGAGAGAGAGTAGTGGAGTGGAGTGGAGTGGAGTGGAGAGTGGAGAGTGGAGAGTGGAGAGTGGAGAGTGGAGTGTGGAGAGTGGAGTGTGGAGTGTGGAGTGTGGAGTGTGGAGTGTGGAGTGGAGTGAGTGGGTGAGTGGGTGGATCAGCGACTCCTGCCACCAAAAGCTTCCATCTCTTCAAGAATGAGCAAACGGAGGAGAACCGCAGCCGCAGTTGAGCTGGCGTGAGATGAGTTTGTGCTCTCAAATTGAGATTTGTAACCACAATCGATAAAACGCTCTTCAAGTCGAGTCTAGTCTAGTCAAAAAAGTCAAAATGTCCTGCTCTCTGTGAGTGAGTGAAAGTGCGAGTGCGAGTGCATGTGAGAGTGAGAGCGAGTGAGTTGGTGTGAGCGAGTGTGAGTTGACTTGGTGCGTTGTGAGTGAGGAGTAGCTCATTTAAGATAACTTTTCTCCGCACCTCCGGCGCGGTCTGTGCCATGGAGCCATAAAAGTCTCCGCTGGGAGGCGCCGCCACACGGTAGGTGGTCTGAACGGGGCACCGGAAAGACCAAAAAAAGCCGATCGTGTAGACACGGCGTGAGTGGAGTGCAGACATGCCAAAGAAGTTATGTAAGAGTTGTGTGGACGTGTCGGCAAAAACAGTCTACCAGGGTGTCAAAGACATGGAGCTTGTCTCCATCTCAATTGGCAATCAATGGCAATCATGACTGGCCTTGGTTGGCATCCCCTCCATGTCCTGTGGCGACAAGCAAGCTTGTAAATCGGAGTGGCTTTGGTGTGAATTCTTCTTCCAGTCCCTGTACCTTGTCCTGCAAGTATGTATTAACCAGCGGCTTCTTCTGGAATTGAGAGATCTAAACCCAGCCGTCAATGAACATCTCAAAAACGCAATCACGTCGGTCAACAGCCAACCGATTACTGGCTTGCCTCAACAAACACCTTCCATCTATGCTAGAATGGCAAGGATAATCTGCGCTTCTGATGTGTCAAATTCAAATCGCCTTTCCTCGGACTGTGAGATTAAACGGTGCTTGGCCAGGTGGTTTTGGATCATCTCCACCTGCACTCGAGAAAGTGAAAGATTCCTAGTTGGAGTCTTGGCTATTAAATTTTATGTACAGCTTGGCTTGGCTCCCAGCTATTGACTGATGTTTATCCTATGTCCTATGTTCTTTTATAGGAACTTCTGGTCTGACGGCCTGACCATCCATTCCCTTCCACACCTTCTTGAGTGCCAAGTTCAGCATTCGGCTCTCATGCCACATGGCACCCACCACTCCGAAAATGAAGTAGCCCAAGAAGGCCACCCAAAGAACCTGAGAGCTAGCCGCAAGTGACTTGTGAGCCAGACTGAAAAAAAATACAGAAAGAAGGTGCTTGCACCCTTTGAAAAGGCCACCCCTTTAAAGGGGCCTCTTTTTTGTTTGCTCTCACGCCAGCATGACACGATCCACGGCGACAAGCGAGCTTCCGCGTCGCATGTCAGAAATCCATCAAAGAACACAACAAAGAACTACAACACATCGAAAGGGATGCACCAAGAAGCCGGGGCCTCATTAAAGTGGCCTGAAATTGCCTTCCTTTGCTCCCTTTTCTTTTTCCCATGGGGCACCATAGGATACTGGCGCATGACATGCCAAGACAACCCGGACAGACTCGGTGGCTTTGGAATTATGAAGCAACGAAAAAATACAAATATATTTAATTTAACCTCATCCACAAGTCATGAGTTTTGCGACTTCTGCCCGAAAGGCAAGGGAGCCAGTGTCAGCAGCACGTGCTTTGTGGCAATCTGAGATCCTTGATTTCACCTGGGATCGATGCTGCTAGGATCACGTAGACGAAGTGTGGGAGGTCAGCGGCAAGCCGCCCGTGACCCCTGACAGCTTCGCCATCCGCATTTGGATATCAAAGGTTCTTTGACTACAATGCTATGTGCTGTAGAGCCACCCGCAAGTGTCAAGAATCAGAATCCGGTAAATATGAAACACCAACGCCAGCTGCTGGAGTCCGCACAAACTTCTCAACTTGGAATTTCAGATTCACCTGGTGTAGATGGGTGCAGACCCAATCCATACAATGTCCCACATCCACCTGAGCCAAGCAGGCACATGAAACAAAAGGTGTGAACATGTAAAAGGGGAACCATTCTTCTTCGCAACAGCGAAGGATTTCCTGTGGCCCCACAGTCTGTGTATTGGCAGAACTTCATTCAACGAATTGCAATTGCAGTCCAGTTTATCACAGTAGTGAATGGGGGGACAAGAGTGCTTGCATCAAGTCCAGCTATGTGACTGCTTGCTATGGAGACGTCATGAAATGTCGGCAAAAAGGGTGTTAGCTGTAACTGTAAGAGCAACATGACAAATAACCCGTGTCCCCTTGTGCATGCTACATGCATGCTTGCTTTTCATTCTCGGGCCGTCGCGTTCTCAGTTCCCTTCATCGAATCCAACTGGCTAAGCCGTCTGCCAGACTCCAAAGCCTCCTAAGGTCGCCATCTTCAAGGTTCCGGCTGAAAGCTGGCGCCACGTGCGGCGGTACAGAGAGGTTTTAACTTTACTTCGTGAAATTGTGAAATGTTCAGCTCGGCTCTGACTAAGCAAATCAACATTCTGACATGTCGAGCCCTCATGATCTCTCATTCTTGCCTCGTCGCCTTAGTCATAAGCAGCTAAAGCCAGCTGTACAGTCTATACAATGATGATCAATGATGTTCACAGGATTTGAAGAATACAATACCTCCAGCATGTATCACGTGTCCAGGAACACGAACACACCCCTGTCTCCCCTCCTCTCAGGTGTGAAGATGAGAGACTTGTAGGCCGCGCCTCTCCGAGGTAGAAGCGGTCCAGTCCCAGGAATCCTTTCGATAACACGTTGTGTGGGCTCTAGGAAATTCTGCTACAGTCAATCAACTGCAAATTGTTGGTTTGGGTTGGTGGTTTGGACTTGGTGGAAAATGCTACCTATTTACTACTAATACTACTGAGCTTACACGTCAGGCGTCAATGACAGTGATACAAATGCATGCGTCAAACATCAGGCCTCACCAATCAGCAGCAGCGAATGCATTATGAGTAGACTAGTAGTATATGGTGGTTGATCAATATTCTTTCATCCTGGAATGGCCATTCATCGCGGAAAAAAAGATATCTTTCGCGGATCTTTCGCGGCCTCATCGCGAAGCATGGTCCTACAACCATGTCTAGCTAACATGAGCCGGAACATGTCATAATAGGGAGAGACATCTTGCAGCATGACCCCAGTAGATGGTTGAACGTTTCCACAGCTACTCAGGGTCACTTGCAGCATCTGTGCGACAATTGTGCCAAATAGAGTCAGGCACAACTCAACCCAATCCTCGTGTCAGCTACCAACACAGGGTGATGCAGCTTGGGGAATGTTTGGGGCCTCAAGCTGGGAACCTAGACTTTAGCGGCACATTCGCGAAACTTTCGCGGATCATTCGCGAAATTTCACTGGTGCTTTCCCCGGGACGCCGTAACATTTGCAAACATCTGCACAGCCCGTCAGAGCAGCGGCAGGTCGTTGCCTCACTGTCAGGGCTGCGCCTACCCAGCTTGCTAGTATGTGACAGTGGGGACAGGAATCGGAGAATCCTTTACGCACTGCCAGGGCTGGGCACG